TCCTCGACCTTCCACACGGCCTTGTTGGGGAACAAGGCCGTGTGGAAGGTCGAGGAAGCAGAGGGCCGTCCAGGTGATAAGCGCATCAAAATGCAAACCGCTGGAACTTCCTCAAGAACACAACTGGAGGAAAGGGCCCCGGCTACATTCCACTGGGGGCCCTTTCCTCCAGTTGTGTTCTTGAGGAAGGTTTTTGTCTGGAGGCCTCCCATGACAATGCCAACAAAGAGGCAAGAGATGGCAGCTACCGCGAGAAACCTCAGCGATCCTGCCGCCACGGAGGTAGCCCGGTACCGCGATGACGGGGTGCAGGGTGGCACTTGCCACGGCCAAGGCAGCCAGCTCTGCCGCAAAGGCGCCCAAGTACAAGGCAGGGAGCATGGCGGCCTTGACTGGACGTCCGCGCCTTGGCTTACCTCTTGCTGCAGCCTGCCCGCCGCTTGCTGGGAGGCTGTAGGCTACAGCCTCCCAGCAAGCGGCGGCCGGCTCACATCTCCTGAGGTTAATGCGACCTCCATATCTTTGGCCGAAGAGGTGGGGTTTTGCGACTGCGGCTGGCCGACAACCGGCGAGTTGAGCACACCATCCACCAGCTTCTTCACCTGCTTGTTGTTGTTGACCGTGGTTCTTGTTCCGTTGCACGTGTGTATTGTCGTCGGAATGTTGCTTTGTAGCCACATTCATAAATGGGGCTGAAAAGCAACATTCCGATGACAATGCACATGTGCAATGCTGGGGCCGACAACCTCAACGTCAAAGAGGAGGTCGAAGCGAAGCAGTGCGAAATCAACGACTCCGCTCGGCTCAGTTGTTGATTTCACGCTGCTTCGCTTCGATGCTTGAGGATTAGGTAGAGTTCCCATCAAAAGTTCGATGGGACCAGCAAGCAATGCTGTGGTTGACAACTTGCGATGCCCGTCTCACGCATCAAGCTGATCGAGAAGCAATGACGCAGCCTGAGGAGACAGAGGTTAACTGCTGTCGACGCCTTAAAACCTGAATGTGGCAACCCCCAAAGCTTATGTAGCACCAGCAAGAGAGCCCCCAAAAAAATTAAAGCCGAAATGACCTCCAAAGCCCAAACCCTCACAGCCTTGAGCATTCTGATCCTTCCTACATACCGCAAACCATGCAAACCACAACACCCTGCTAAAACCAGCGCTGGCAACTCCAGCATGAGACATTCTGGGGACCATGAGCCCTAAACTCCTAAACTAAATCGCCTAAAACTCTAGCATGACACTCGATTGCCCCATAGATTCTAAACAGATCTAGCCCATGAGGCTGCCATCCCGGAGCCCTAACACCAAGAGTGCCGGCCTTGTGCGAGTGTGAGAGTCGAAACCCTAAACCGAAGGTATGTCCGCCACAGTTCGCCAGCAAGTTTGCTCCTGTCTGCCTTTGTCATCCGGCTCCGGTAAGTTTGACGGTCAGCTCTACTGTGGTGCGTACTGTTATGCCGATGATATGCTGCCCGGGTCCAAGCTGTGAGTACTTCTCAAGAGCTCATTCGTTTCCTCCGGAGCAATTCCAGCCCAGACCCCCCTGTGGACACTGCTGTAGTGACTAGTGGGAGCCAGGATTCGGGAAGACCCTTGGGGATATAGACCCTCTCAATAAGGTCCCTTTTAAGAGAGCCAAAAGTAGGGTTCAGAAGGGGTACCCTTCAAGGGGTACCCCTAATAATACTACCTAACTAGACCCAAAGCTGACATGATGTTCGGTTGAGCTTCACTTCGTCTGATGAGCCAACCTTGCCTGGAGTGTCGGAGTTGCAAGAGACGACTGCCTGCATTGCATGACCCGGTCCTTTGGGCAGGGCTTCTCTAGGAGCTTATGATAGCAGGAAGGACGAGCCCCTGAACTCCCTAAACCCTAAACCCTGCGTAAACCCTAAACCCCGAGGAGTTTGTTGCAGGCCTAATTTGAACACACCGAATTCTACGTTGTACCTATGTTAGTGTTCGTTCATATGCCCCAAACTCTTTTCTCTCGAGCCTGCGAAGGGTTAGCTCCAGTAGCTCATCGATTCACACTGTGAGTAGTTTCCTAGGTCCCCCAGTAGTACCCTTTTGCCCTTTTTTTAGGTTCCCTTAATAAAGCCAAGTAGTAGGAAAAAGGGTACCCTTATTATTTGGGGCCTACTGGGGAACCGAGTTTCACAAGGAGGCTGGTCTGGATGTCTGGGCTGCTCCTTGCCAATTATTCCTATAGTGTCCATTGTAGTTCCCTTTTGGGCTTACCTTACAGGATCCTAAATATAGAATTGGTTAAACCAAAGAAGGAACTACAATGGAGACTATAGGTTTGGTCTTTCTAGGGATCTTTCTGACGGGCCTGATCAGGTTCCTGAAGAACCTGTAGTTCAAGACGAACTCGACAGGATCAGATTCAAAGCCCTGGGCGTCCCGCCCCCCGAGATTCATAGCATTCTAATCTAGGTTGATGTTTGGGACATGTTTTATTTTCCTCGCTTGGGTTTTGTAAGGGACCATTTATATAGATATTTTTCCGAGGGTTTACAGGCCGACCCAGTAGAGTTTTAGGGGCTTTGTTGTTTGAGGTGCTGTTCCCATGATATGAAGTCTCACTACGCCGACCTCAGACCCCATGCCTCGCTTGCATTGTGCGAGTGTGAGCGCCGAAACCCTGAAGGCCCTACATAAACTGTGAAGCCATGCTTGATATAGGGGCCTTAGTACTTCGAATAGGGTTTGGGGGGGGTAAGTTGTACTATACTGAAATACGGCATCCCATATTTCGGGTGCCCCAAACATGGACCATAATTTTGACAACTACATGGCAATGAGCCCAAAACCCGAAACCCTAAACCTTTTCCGTCCCTAAACCCTAAACCCTGAACCCTGAACCCTGAACCCAAAACCCAAAACCCTGAACCCTCAACCCTCAACCCTCAACCCTAAACCCTGAACCCTGAACCCTGAACCCAAGCCCTAAGTCGCTGCCATCCCTGCCAGGGCACAGAGGCTCCCCGAGCCATCGATTACCAGGCCTTCGTCATGAGCGACATCGAGGCTCGGGCGTTAAGTTGTTTTGCCCTTTAGGGCTTAGGGTTTTGGGCTTAGGGCTTAGGGCTTGTAGGGTATAGGGCTTAGGGTTTAGACCTTTAGGGCTTAGTAGGATTTAGGGATGTAGGGTTTAGGGTTTAGGGATTTTGACCTTCAGGGCTTAGGGCGAGTAGGGTTTAGGGATGTAGGGTTTACGGTTTAGGGATTTTGACCTTCAGGGCTTAGGGCGAGTAGGGTTTAGGGATGTAGGGTTTAGGGTTTGGGGATTTTGATCTTTAGGGCTTAGGGCGAGTAGGGTTTAGGGATGTAGGGTTTAGGGATCTAGGGATGAGGGCTAAAGGGCTCAGTTCTCAGTGCGGATGACCATCAGTACGCGATAGACTTTGCAGGCCTCTCGTGTTTAGGTTTGAGTTTGGCGGCGCTACTTCCCAGATGCAATAGTCTGGACGTGCTGCTTCCCAGCTGATTGGAGGAGTTTGGGTTCAACAAGGGATCTAGGGATGAGGGCTCAGGGCGAGTAGGGTTTAGGGTATGTAAGTAGCCCTTTCAAAGCGTAGGCTTCTGATCAGTCTAATGTGCCTGCTTGTGCGCGTAAGGACCAGCTAGTCTTTAGTTGAGTCCTCCCCAAACCTCGCCTGAGCTTCGAGCGCGAGTGCTGAAAAAAGTAGTCTTTTGCTTTCTGGAAGTGTGGACAACGAGAGGCTGCTGAGGTTTCTGACGGAAATTTCGAAAGTCGTGCAGACTCCACCGTCTCCATCAATCACACACACACACACACTTTCGCTCCTTTGTCTCTCTGTTGCTATATGTAGATTCATCATAAACTGGATTGTAGATTGAACAACTGCGTCATCGAAGGGCTTCATTGCTGATTGTCTTGTCATGGCGTGTGCTCTGAACCCTAGGCTGCTATGCTGACCCCATAGGGCCAGTAAAGTACTTTAAACATATGATTACGGTTATGTATCAGTTTCAGGCTTCGGGCTTTGTGTCTAGAGTCTGGAGCATGAGGGCGCAGCGCTTATGAAAGCCCTTGTCCCAAAACACCAAAACCAAAACGACAGACCCCCACCATTGCAACCATTGTAGTAACCTCTCGTGACCCCCGATAGTACGGGAGAATGATTAACCGTACGGCAATTAATTAAGTCACAACAGCACCCTGTAGTACTTCACACTCTCATTGTAGATCCACCCTATCCATGACGGACTCCCGCCCCCCGCCCTCGTTTTGTAGGAGAAGAAGCGCGAGATCAAGCAGCGCGAGGAGCAGCAGGAGCTAGTTTGGGTTGTAGGGTTTGGGCTTCAGGGTTTTGCTCTGTATAGTTTAGGTTCTGGGGTCTGGGATTTGCCTTCGGGGTTTTGGGGCTTGTACAAGGGGGGTTATCAGGTTCCGTAAAGGGTTCATACTGGTTTCATGGCGTGAGGCTTAAGGTTCAGAACCTTAGGTCTTGCAGTTTCAAGGGCCGACGTTATGGGTTTCGAGGAACTATGGTCAGACAGCGTTGCGGAGGACTTTTCGGGTCTTCATTTGGGGTCTTGTACGGTTTTGCGGGGTGCCAATCTAGGTCTAGGTAAGCTGTCCGTGTCACTGTGAGATTATAGCGCCTTCTCATTACGAGAACTTCGTCTTACACTGTGTAACACTGAAGATCTGTAGAGAGGCCGAGCTTAAGGCCCCCCTACGGTTCTCGTTATTGCTTTGATCGAGCGCACATCTTGAAATGGTCTAAACTCTGCCCTACACACCAGAATCGTGAACTCGTTTCCCCCCTACACTGCTGACGCCCTACACTTGGGCTCCTTGGCTTGGCGCCTAACCGTAAACCCTAAACCCTAAACTCAATCCCAAACCGGCCCTGCACTGCGTGTCGACTCGGTCATCTGGGCGGGTGGGAAAAGCCCTGCGAGAGCCCAAACCCAAAGTGCAGTTATCTTCTGACTGACCTGAACCCTAAACCCCGAAGCCCTAAGTCCTAAACCTGAAGCTCAAAGGTTGCAGCAGGTTGGTTTTGGGACCCTCCAGGCGAAACCGAGCTTATCCAGGAACACGAGCATCTCGTAGGAGAATCTCGTTTACTTTAAGGGTCATGGGACTTAGTAAGTAGGGCTATAATTAAGGTAACTATACTTCTATTTCCTTATAACCCCAATTAAGGGACTTATAACCTTGCTTGCTAAGTCCCATGATCCTCCAAGTACCCGTGTACACCATTCAAGACAGGCAGCCCTGGCTGCGCAGCAGAGACTCGAAGACGACAACTACATGAGGCACGGGTTTAGGGTTTAGGGTTTTAGGGTTTAGGGTTTAGGGTTCAGGGTTTAAGGGTTTAGGGTTTCAGGGCTTAGGGGTTTAGGGTTTAGGGTTTAGGGGAGTCGCTCTTTGGGGTACGGGATTGGGGAGAGGACCTATTATGTGATATAGAGGTCTGCATTACTAGTAATATTGTGTAAGAAGGTCCCTTCGAATAATCCCTATGCAGAGCTATGCTAGGATAGACCTTCAAACTTCAAAACTGATGAGAATTGTTCAGCTCGAATCCGATGCTCAGGGTGTTGATTCTTTGAAGAAAAGGATCTACAGATATCTACGGGCTTCCTCTATCAGGTTTGTATGTTAGGGGTAAAGAGAATTGGTCAGTGTAGGTTCAAGGCGCACGCGATATATATTCCGGATTCTCGTTGGCGCTGAGGTCCCACTGCTTACACACGATCCGTACGGCCGCGTCCTCCGGAAAACCCGATGCATTGCAAGTTCCTATACGATGGCCTCACTTTGGCCCCGGAATGTTTGGCAGTACCTGGCGAAAAGAACGTTGGTCGTGTCTCTTACCTCCGCCAGTACATTGGGGGAAGCCCTTCTGGCCCTGGTGGTGGGGATCTCCTCAGGCCTTAGGGGTACTTAGAAATAATTTTTAATCTTTGGCTACTACAAACCCTAAGAAGCAGCTAAAATTATAATTTTTGCCAGGGGTCTAAGTCAGTATAGAGGCATTATTTGAAGGTTTCGGGGCTGGGAGTTAGGCACTTGACCCCCTCAAGGTGCACGCAAACTTTTGCAAGCGTCTTATTGGGGGTGCTGTGTGTTGTGCAAGCATGTTCGAGCGATCCAAAGTCGGGATTCAAAATCACTTCATTGGATCCCCCAAGTTCAGCAACTTCCACATCATTGAACCATCACATAGAATGACTAATCTGTAGCTGGGACACAGCGACACGCCCGTAGAGAAGCCAGCATTGCAACTTGAGCTTGCAGTGCCTCATACTCACTGCAAGTGGCCATCCTAAAGCCAAGACTCCTACACCACGCAAAAGTCCAGCAAAATATAGGGGCCGAGATAAGCACCAAGACTTGTATAATATGCCGCAATCCCTTTTCTATTCATACAGGCCCCTACAGGCCGTATAATTGTAAACAGGAAACCCAATTATCTCACACCCGCCACCATGACTGCAAGCAAGTGCGTGGAACACAGCCTCAAGCCATTGAGAAAGTCATGAACAGCAACAGGAGCTCTAGCCGTTATGTGAGCAGTACCAAGAATGACGAACCTCTTCGACAGAATAGCTGCAAAACCAAAGTCGTTAGTTTTTCTCTGCCCGGATCACCCGAAATGCTAAATCCCAACCCTCGAATCCTGAACCCGAAACCCTAAATTCTAACCCTGAAGAAGCACCAAGACCAAGACACAAACCGCACTCCACGCGAATAAACCGTAAAGGCCCATCAAATGCCTGAAAGCACTTTTCACATCGTGTTGACTAAACCGAATCCTTTAATCCCCGTTTAAGAACAAGTTGAACACTCTCGCAAAATCATATGAGGCCACCCAGAAAAACCAGAAACCCTGTAATAGAGCTCTTTCAAAATCCACCCTATGCCCTAAGCTCCAATGCCACTAAACCTTCAACCATTAAACCCACTAGTTAAGCCCTAAACCCCAAACCTGAATCCTTAAGCTCTATAACATTAAACCTTAAACCATGAAACCCCCGAATTAGACCCTAAACCCCTAAACCCCTAAACCCTCAACCTCAGAGCTTCCAGACTCTGCAGGTTTTCGGGCGAGCTCGCGCAGGCTGAGGAGGAAGCCGCAGCTGCGAGCTCCTTGGGCCAAAATCGGTGGGTTTAAGGTTGCGGGCCGTTGAGGGTTTAGGGGTTCAGGGTTTAGGGATTAGGGGTTTAGGGGTTTAGGGTTCAGGGGTTTAGGGTTCAGGGTTTAGTGATTAGTGGTTTAGGGTTCGCCCTGGGCAGGCCCCAATCCCAGAGAGCTCAATGACGAGAGTCACTGCGACTTCTGTATACCATCGTCATAGATCCCACATCCCGAAGAGGGATCTAGGACTTTGCCACTCACTGCTAGTAGTATGCCTTCATGGCTGCTAGTACAACTGTAGTAAGATGTACATAAGAACCCTGGTCCAACTATGAAGGGTTGTTTAATTCTCAATCGAAGTCTCTTCACAGTCACTGACGGTCCTGCATAAGTTAGCTTGCCATGCAATACTTAAAGGAGCATGGGACTTAGTAAGTAGGGTTCCAATTAAGGTAACCATACTTATATTTACTTATAACCCCAATTAAGGTAGTTTCAACAAGGCGAAGACCGTTTCCTCTCTTAGAGGTTGTACTTTGGGGTATTCTTGTTGTGTGGGTCTTCTTCTTGATGCATGTTTCACGTTGTTGTAGACCTCGAACGACATGCCTCGCCTGGAGTGCCCGAGTGTGACCGCCGAAACCCTAAATCCTAAACATTCCGGCGGCTTGGGGGGCATGCCGGGGTCCTCCAGTCGCAGACACAGAGAGATGGACGACAGACTGTCAAAGAACGTGGTTTAGGGTTTATAATGTAGGGGCCTTAATAATTAGAATAGGGTTTGCGGTATATCATACCTATAGTTATAATAAGGAACCCCCCAAAACCCTATTCTAGTTATTAAGACCCCTACATTAGGGTTTAGGGAACGTGTAGAATTCGGGATGGGGTTGTCCAACAAGCTGCCCTCACTCAGCCCTAAACCCCGAAACCCTAAACCTAAACCGCTCCCTTTGCAAATTTTGATACAAGGGCCTTATAGTAATTAGAATAGGTTTTTGGGGGGTTCCTTCTTATAGTTATAGTATACTTGGCCCCCGAAACCCTATCCTAACTATTCTGGGGTTCCTTGAACGGAGTATAGTATCAGTCCAATGTGCACCAAAACCTTTGGTCTAGTCTGATAATTATTAAGGCCCCTAGAACCCTATCATAGATCCGTTATAGAACCCTTTAAGGACCCCTTTAAAGAAACCCCCCAAAACCCTATACTAATGATCCCTTTAAAGGAACCCTATTCTAATTATTATAGGCCCCTTCCTTTCGCCAGGGCAACAGGAAGAACTGGAGCGGCAGCAGAAAGCAGCCGAGGAGGCGCCAAAGGTGACTTTTTTCGGGTTTTGGGTTTTGGGGTTAAGGATTTAGGGTTTAGGGCTTTTAGGGTTTTGGGTTTCGGTTTCGGGTTTAGGGCTTGTAGGGTTTCGGTTTAGGGTTTAGGGTAGGGGTGTCAGATTTGAAGGTTTCCTGCAACGGTTTAAGGCTTATAGGGTTTAGGGTTGCAAAGGGCTTCGAGAGGTGTGATAGGCTTGTTTTTAAGGGTGCTGAGCCAAAGAATTTAATTTATCAAGTTCGCCCTGCACTTATCCCCGTAGGTTGCGATCTCATGGGCGTGCAGTGTGCGCAGAAGCCTGTTTCTGAAAGCATCCTTCGCCAAGTAACTCCGATCAACCCGAGACATCAAATGCAGTGTGAACTGAACTTTGCATACTCCTTAACCCTAGCCCCCAGGTACCTACTGGAGCCCCTAAGGCCCTATATAGTAGGTACCTGGGGGGTTAGGGACACCTTGTCATTCTTTGCCTGCTTCAAGACCCTGCAGTAAGTTTCATCCTCAGCACCTGGGCCCCCGTGTTGACAGTCGGAGGTCTCTCTGTTTGTTGAATAGTTTCGAGTTGCGGCTTCGGACTGCTGAACATGTTCAACATGCATAAAGCTTTTAGAGCATCTTTCTCGCTCTCCCTCTCCCTCTCCCTCTCTGTGTCTCTCTCTCTCCCTCCTCCTCTCAGCTTTTTCAGCCTCTTTCTCCCTCTCTCTCCTCTCTGCCTCCCTCCTCCTCCTGCAGGAGCATCTGGCACCAACTTCTCTAAGAGTGCTCTAAGTATGCCTTGGCAGGAGCAACGACGGCAGGAGGAGGCCATATGGCTGGAGCTCAAGAAGCAGGAAGAAGACACCCGTAGGAAGGAGCACGAGGAGCAACGACGCAAGGAGGAGGCTCGCAAAAGGGAGGAGGAGGAGGAGGCAGAAGCAGAGGCCGCTCGGATGAATTTATGCCGCTGCAGCAAGCAAAAGAACGATGAATTTGTTCATGGCGTGAGTGGAACCGCTGTAGCCTCAGATCGCCAGGCTCTAATGGCAGAAAGAAGAAGGCAAGAAGAGGCAAGACAAACGGAGGAGGCTGCGCAGCAAGCCATACAGCAGGCGCGGGTGATATGTTGAAAGTGCCGTATTGCCAACTCCGCGCATATCATTAGGCATTGCGCTGTNNNNGCGCATATCATTAGGCATTGCGCTGTGTTACCGCTTGAATGATACCTATAGTCTCCATTGTAGTTCCTTTGTGGGGTTACCTTATACGATCCTAAATGTAGCATTGGTTAAACCCCAAAAAAGGAAATACAATGGAGACTATATAGGTAGGTCAGCCATTTGTGGCAACTCGATAAGACGCGCCACGGCCGGCACAGGCGCAGCAGGGGCAGTTCAGGAGTTTCGCGAGGTTCAACGAACCCGTGCCGCAGGCCAGGGGTGCGTTTTGCCAAGCCCTACCTATAGTCTCCATTGTAGTTCCTTTTTTTTGGTTTAACCAATTCTATATTTAGGATCCTATAAGGTAACCCCAAATTGGAACTACAATGGAGACTATAGGTAAACCCTGCACCGTGGCCGCCGGGGCTAAGGGCTGAACCTTAAAAACTCTCCCGGGCTCTCGAGTTTCTGTTACTGGGTTATACACGGTAGCCTGCCATACCTGCCCCTTTTAGGTCAATGCAGGTTTTAGTTCGGGGTGTAGGGTTTTCGATGAAGACAAAAGCTGCGGTATCAAAGGCTCAATGACGCCAGCAGCACCAACAGTTACCGCAGCGGTGGCCCACAGACTCCGATGGTCCAATATCCCGCAATGAAGTCCCTAAACCCTAAACTTTAAGTATCCTGATATGGGGATTTTAGGCTCAGTCCGTGATCTTGGCTCAAGCCTTTTGCTCTTGGCGCTACTCTGCCTCTGTCCTCAACAGCGTTCAGGTTTTATTTTGATCGCCATGGTGAAGTCTTTGGCGTTCGTCTTGTCCGTGACAGCATTTGCCTGTGCCATGTCGACAGACGTCGTGGACATGGACAACATCTTGGCAGGCGATGCTGAGTGTGCCGCGGGCGGGGAATGCGCCCTGAACGCCGTGCAGAAGAAGGCAGTGGTTGCCCAGCAGGAAGACTCCGTGGAGAAGTCGGAAGCTGCTTCGGTGGAGGGCGAAGGGAAGTTGGCGGAGGCTGAAGCGCAACAGACGGTTTCGGACACCGAGAAGTGGGGCCCATCGCCACCTCCCCCGTCTGCAGCCTACAACCCTTACTGGAATCATCAGTACGGCAGCCCTTACGGGCAGATGCCTCCTGGGTTCAACCCTTACGGCGGCAGCCCCTATGGAGCCCCCGGCTTCGGAAGCTGCCAGAATAAGATCCAAGGCTCTTCCTGCATGGTCTTCAGCTGCGCCAAATCGCGTGGGCCAACGACCTGCAACACCAAGGACTACTTCTGCTACTGCCACCCCGGCTTCTGCTCTGATGGCAAGGCTTGCGTTCCGGCCCAGCATATGTACCGCTAAGCTCCTGCCATAGAAGTGGCAACGACCAGGGCCGGGCTACAGACGTATTCAGAAGCAGTTTTGGTCGCCACCTAATTCGCCGGGCTTAAGCGGGTGGAGACGTTCGCCAAGGAATTTTGATCTGCCTCCATCTTCTGGAGTTTGCAGGGTTTCGCTACAGAACATGCTGACCTCAGCCAACAGAGCTAGGAGGTGACCTATCGACCCCGGAAAAAGCAGGCGCTTTTGGATGGTCAGTTCCACTGTGCTGGTGTGTTCATGATTGCGGTTAGTGAAAAGCCATGGAACTTTCATTGAAGTTACGATATAGGGCAAAGATGGTATGGCACCAGTAGCACAAATCAAGTTATGAAGTTCCTTAGCAAGAGCCTTGGGGACCAAATGACCCTCATACTATGAATCCCTATATGGTTTATGAACCTGGAACGCTTTTAGGGTTCATTTCGTCCCTAAGGAACCACGAGCGCAGATGTTGCTTCCAGTGCTTCAACCAAAGCCAGCGAGCTCGTTCGACCGCCGAGCTGGAACCAAAAATCCCAAAAGCACGAAACCAAAGAATCCGTCAAACCTAAACCCTAAACATCCCTAAGCCCTATAGCCCTGTAAACCCTACAAACCCCAAACCTAAACCCTAAACCCTATAAACCCCTAAAACCCCTGAAACCCCTAAAAACCTAAAACCCCTAAAACTCCTAAAACCCCTAAACCCCTAAAACCCCTAAACGCTAAAACCCTAACACCCCTAAAACCCCTAAAACCCAAACCCTAGCACCCCTATAAACCCTAAAACCCTAAAAACCCTAAACCCCTATAAACCCCAAAACCCTAAAAATCCGAAAACCCCTAAAACCCCTAAACCCCTAACCTGGATTCTTCCTGTGGAGCCTAAACCCTTCACCCCAAAGCCCTAAACCCTCCAGGCCCAGCCCCAGGATGCCAGTGGATGGCCACAGCCTGAGCTCAGCTCCCTCTTTCCTCGGGTTTAGGGTTTAGGGTTTAGGGTTTAGGGGGGTTTAGGGTTTAGGGTTTTAGCATTTAGGGCTCCAGGGTTTTAGCCTTGAGGGTTTAGGGTTTAGTCGCTTCTATAGGGGCTCCCACAGGATCCTGCGATTTAGAGTCGGGGGTGGGTTCTTTGGGACATTTTGGGGTTGTTTGAGATACTAGGGTTAGATTTTGGGACATTTTGGGGGGCTTTAGGATACTAGGGTTAGATTTTGGGACAGTTCGGCCCCAGCTTGGGGGTTTTAGGATACTAGGGTTACATTTGGCACTAGCTTTCGGCTTTCGGGGTTAGGTTAGGGTTTTAGGCCGCCGCTTTGTTGTTGCCATGTTAGCTGTATGGCTTGTCTATCCGTTTGGATATTTACCTTTAAGTTCGGAGCAAGACTCGACGTACTTGTGCCAAGACCTGTGGAACGCAGTGCGAATGGATGCACTGGACCATAGAACCCTTCGTGTTCAACCCCCGTGGCCACGAAAGGACGCACGAGGTAGGTGGAGTGTGCCAGTGAAACGGACATGAAGGTACGCAAATCAAGGCTCCTGTAGAAGAGGGTTTTCGGGCCCACTACACTATAATTAATAATAAGGAACCCCCAAAATAG